TTAGCCAAGAGCACATGTGGTTCACAGGGCTACCACCTGTTTTTGTAGATAAAGTTTTATTGGAACACAGCCACTTTATTGATTAGACCTTCTTGTTCACTGCAGTTCAGAATTAAATTGCACAAAATTGTGTAGCCCACAGGCCTAAAGCATTTCGTCTCTGATTCTTGAGGACAAAGTTTGCTTTTCACTGATACAGGTACATAAATACTCTTCCCAAAATAAACATTGTACAAAAAGATATATTCAGAAAAGTATCATATTCTTCAGCATTCCTCGAACCTCATCTGCACCCATGCCTTGTTATTTAGTTTATTTTTGTAAAAATAAACAGGTAAACATGGTTCGTTTTTCTCCTTTGCCTTTCTGTACATGAAGGTACTCTTACTCTTTGCTTTTATTTGCTTAATACTTCTTTCTGGAAATAATTCATATCACAATGACCAGAGTCATTTCTCCTTATTTTTAACTTCTTAGTAGTACTACATTTTGTATATATGATGTGTGTACTGTTATTTATTTCACCAGCTGTTGATGCTTGAGAATCTAGTTTCAAATATAGTATAATCTTAACACTGCACTAACCTTTCTTTCTTCCTTCTTTCAATTGTATGTGTGTTTGTGTGTGTATGCATGTATGTGTGTATGTATGTATGTATGTTGGTCTTTGCATGTGCTTCTCCTTGGCCACTATTAAATATTGAAGAACTATGTTAGTTACAGTTAACAGGTGCTAATAATTGTTTTTTAATGAGATAAGTACGTCAAAATAATTGAGTTTTTACCCAGTTTCCACCTCAACTTCTTACATGACTTTTGTACAAGTTATTTAGACTTTTAGTTTCTGGGTTTCCTCTTAACTGTTTCAGAACTGCCTTGAAACCACTAAGGTTTCACTAATCCTATTAGATTAGCTCATCTGTAAGTATGCAATACATATTTGCTACTCCTACATTCAATTAAACTTTATTTACAAAAACCAGAGTGATGGATGTAGCTCAATGGTATAAAGCATATGGTTAGCATGAGCAAAAGCCCTGGGTTCAATCCTCATGTCTACTTTATTATTGTTTATTCACTTGGTTGAGTTTGAATATTTATTTATTTATTTATATTTTTTTTGGTGGTCATGGGGCTTGACCTCTGGGCTTGGGCGCTATCCCTCAGGTCTTCAGCTCAAGGCGAGTGCTCTACCACTTGAGCCACAGTGCCACTTCTGGTTTTCTAGTGGTTTACTGGAGATAAGAGTCTCACAGACTTTCCTGCCCGGGCTGGCTTTGAACCATGATCCTCAGATTTAAGCCTACTGAGTAGCTAGGATTACAGGCATGAGCCACCAGTGCCCCCTGAATATTTATTGTTTAATTATGCCTACTTTGGGGTCATAGTTCCTAAATTGTGTTTTTATCACTACTTTTCAGATGAAGGAGATAATTTTATACTCTTTTAAAAGGTTAACAAAGTAAATCTTGGAAAGGGAGAAGGATTTATTTTGCAGAGAATAGAGAAGTTGCCTGAAGTTAATTTCTTGATCTTTTTTTAAAAAATCTTCTATTGCTTTGTTTAATTTATATACTCTATTCTTTTATAAAACTGTTAGCTGGGGATGGCTCATACCTGTAATCCTAGCTACTCAAGAACCCTACATCTGAGGAGTCTGATTCAGAGCCAGCCCAGCCAGCAAAGTCCATATGACTCTTATCTCTAGTTAACCACCAGAAAACCAGAAGTAGAACTGTGGCTTAAAGTGGTAGATCACTAACTTTGAGCAAAAGAACTTAGGGACAGTGCCCAGACCCTGAGTTCAAGCCCCCATGACGAACAAAAACAAACAAAAAAATCCCTGTCAGGTATTAGGGAATATGAGATAAAATACTAAAATACTCTGAATAATTGTGTGTGTGTGTGAGTGTGTGTGTGTGTGTATACATGATACATGCATGCCAGTACTGGGGCTTGAACTCAGGGACAAGACACTGTCCCTTGGTTTTTTGCCCAAGGCTGACCCTCTATCACTTGAGCTACAGCTCCATTCTGGCTTTTTGGTGGTTAATTGGAGATAGGAGTCTCACAGACTTTCCTGCTTAGACTGGCTTCAAACCATGATCCTCAGATCCTAGCTTCCTGAGTAGCTAGGATTACAGATGTGCACAACCAGCTCCTGATGAGAATTCATAATTTTAGTAGTAGGTACTTGTTGATCTCATGTTACCAATTAAACTGTATTGTTGACCATTAAATAATTGATCAATTTAAATATGTTCTATTACCATAAATTTATTAGTCTTTTGAATTTGGAATTTATCTTTTAGACATCATGTTCAGTTTTCTTGGCCACACTTCTTAAGAAGTTTATTGTAGCATTACTTTGGGATTTCATCTACATCTTAGTGCTGTTACTAAAATAATTTATATGCAAAAATGTCATTTGTAATTAAAAACAAAATCTTCATTTGTGACATGTAGAGAGTTGGATTGACCTTGAAATAGAATGTTGGGAAATAATAAAGATTCTTTAGGCAAAGTAACTTACTATAGCAACAAAAGACAAAACTAATTTCTTTAGATGAATAGTAGCTACCTACCATTTATAAATGTTTCTCAGTTGGGCAGGTGAGCTTTTCTCCATTCTTGATTTTATATACTCAATTGAACAGCTAATTTCTTGAAATAACAGTATGTGTAATCAGGATTTTAATTAAAATTGACTTCCAATATTTTGAATGTAAATAAGATTGGCTGATTGCTATATGAAAAAGTACTTTCCTCATTTTCTTTACTTTTTTGTGTCTATAGTATGTACATACTTTGTACATAGTTATTTAGTTGGTATTTTTCTCAGGAAAGATATAAGTTCAGAATGAGTTCCTAGAATTCTGTAAAGGTATGAAAAAATTATTGATTTTACTCTGAAGGAAGGTAACATGGAAACACAAGTTGAATAGTTAACGATTTTATGAAGATATTGAAATCAATGACATAAGAACTGGAGCTGTGCCTAAGAGGTAAAGTGCCAGCCTTGAGCAAAAAAAGCCAAGCTAGCACAGGAAGCCTTGAGTTCAAGCCTCATGCTAGCATACAAAAAAAAAAAAGAATAAAATGTTATAGAAAGTAAATTATCTTAAAAAAAAAAGAAATTAAAAAAAGGAGAAAACCCAGAAATAAAGAATGGCACAGTACTTTGGGGGAATGACTAAAATTTGGTACTATCATTTCAAGGTAAGAAAAAGTAAGTAAAAGCTTCAGTATTCTAAGATTAATAGAGATTTCCTGAGTAAAGCTGAAAGAAAACCCCTTGCAATATATGATTAACTTTAAGTGCAACTCAAGCCAAGGAAGATAGTTTTAGTTGTGTTCTGGAACTCTTTCTGTCCATATAGGTAAGATTTGCTAAGTAATTGAAGTTCTAGATGAAAAAACTAGTATTACCTGTAAATGTATTCATGAAGAAATCATAAATGTTGATTCATACATCCTACCATTCACAAGAGGGCAAGAAAAATTTCTGTGATGAGCTCAGTACTAACAACTGTGTAGTGACTATTTGGTAGAATTTTAAAGTAATATTCATGCTTTGTGATCTACCTTAAATTTTATTTGCTTGTCTTTAGGCAAGGAGAGTTCTGAGAAATCTGAAACTCTGAGAAATCTCAAAGTTAACAGAACTCTGGCCACTTTCCTCCAAATCAGTGCCATTTAACGCAGCAATCATGTTTGAGAGGGCTAAATTTATTTATTTTTCTGAAGTATGATATGACATATAGGAACTTGTAGTCAATTGAAGAAAACATATTTACAGTTTATATATAAATGTCTCTTAGGCCAGGCTTAAATTTCTTTGTTAGTTTATTGTTTGTTTTTCTTTAAGAGTTTATTTTACTTTAGGCTTACCTAAAGGAAAGTATGGATCTCTATTATCTTATTTATCTGATCTGGCAAAAGACTATGATTTTTATCTGTAATCATTGCATTCCAAACTCAGAACAGCAAAACTCAAATTTAAAAGTACCATTTCAGTTATAGTCAAGACTTGAAATAAAGTGGTAAAAACTGGATAAGCTACTGAATTCAGTCTAACAGGTCCACCTTGGAGAAAACTGCTTGAATTTTTGAGGTGATACACTGAAAAAATGAAAGTTTATGTGTACTTGGTATTTTCTTTCTAAATTAAAGCTCAAAGCCTTATCTTTTCGTTTTGTGTAATGAAAATTTGTGTTTAATTATTTGTTTTGTAGGTTTGTTTCTTTTTGTGTAAAAATTATGACCTTAATTTTGTGACATTAACATTTTTCCAGCTTTAAGTAGCATTTCTAACTATTCAACCATTTGGCTTATTTAAATAGCATATTTCAACTCTGTAGCTTAAAATGGTGAGGAAAAGGAAGGAAAAGTAAAAAGTATCTTAATTACTCCACTATCTAGTGTTCCTTAAACTTAAAATATAAGTTCTTTGTTGTGTCATAAATATACCTTTAATATACTTTTTGATAGCATTTTACTTAAGTAATTTACTTATTAACAAAGTAGCATTTTATTAGTTTCTTCACTCTAGATTTTGTGGCATATATAATTCCAATATTGAGTATATTGCTAGAAAGTTAAAAATATGTTTAGGCAGTACCTGTTTTTTTCTTTATTAATTAACTACAGAGAGAAAACTCTTAAGTGTTTTCTAGAAATGTAAACTGCTTATGACCTTCAAATAGTGTTAGGATGTCATTCTACAGAAGAGACTACATTTTTAGCTATTTGGCAGAAATAACTCTACTTTTTTTATTATTTCAAATTATTCTTTCTCATTTATAGTGTAAAACAGGATTGGGAGTTTTCAAAATGAAATAGAAATATACTGAATAATCTATTAACTTCTTAAAACTTTTCACATGAGTAAATAGTTTAGCATAAAAATTCAGGAAATCATTTAGTATCTTAATGAAGAATTTTAAAAGTAAGGAGTTATCACCTTATTGAAATCATAACCACTTTCAGACTTTGAATTGAATTTTAAGAGATCTTTTTAATGAAGAAAACACATGATAGTGGCTCAGAAAAATAAAATGGAGTTTATACAAGAACGGAATATATTTTAATGCTTAATACATTGAATACAAATCTTCTTTAAAAACATTAAAATGTTCATATGTTTATTTTCTTTTGGAGGTGGAGAAATCGTTTTTCCAAGAGAATACTTTTCACAGTTGAAGGAACTTGTAGCTTTTTGTCCCAGTGAAGTCCCAGTGCTTTTATTTCAGGCAGCTTATATTGTAGATTCATTGTCAAATATTTTACATTTTAAGGTCTGTAGGTTGTGTTGAATAAAATTCTCTGTGCCTTGAACTTCAGAGAATCTGGAGTCACTCCTCCTAACAGACCAGTTTTTCATTTTTATCGAGTTTTGAATTGTGTCCGATGTGAAGTAGTAAACTATGGGGTCAAAGCAACAATTGGAAACAGCAATACAGAGAGTGATTGGGTACATTGTCCTTACTGCTGCCACTACGGAGCAGTTAACAAACGCTTGTGTTCTCATAAGGGAATATAAAATCAGATTGATATTGTAAGGTACAAAACAGAAACAGAATATGACCAAATGGACAAAAATCATTTTCAAAACCTTAGTTTTGTTTATTTTGCTTCTACTTAATGTCACTGGCTTATTTAAAGTTCTTAGCACCATACTAGAACAAGTTACGTTCAAAATGAGAGGAATAAAAAATCCCACTATCTCGATGAAAATTACAATTCTTGAGAGATACGTTTTCCACGTGGCTTCTGGAAAGTTTTCAAAGCAGGCTTCTGAGGTATTGTTACCCTGAGAGTGGGTAGACTGAAAAAACACTGCTGGTGCACTTCCTCCCATCACAGTTAACCACACAGCAACGCACACAATCTTTGCATTTCGTTTGGTTCTTAGAGTCTTTGACTTAAATGGGTAGACAATCGCCAGAAATCGATCTACACTAATACATGTCAAGAACAGAATGCTTCCATACATGTTGGTATAAAACAGCATCACAGAGATCTTACAAAGCAAATCTCCAAATGGCCAATTTCGTGTTGCAAAGTAAAAAATTCTGAAGGGTAAAGTAAAAACAAAAAGCAAGTCTGACATTGCTAAGTTAATCATATACGTTGTAGTTTCATTTCGTACTTTGAGGGCACAGATGAAAATATATATAGCAACACAATTGGATATTAACCCAAGCACAAACACCATGCTGAACATGCAGCCATACAAAGTGTACTTAAAGGAGTCATCATAGAAGCAATGGGAGCTGTTAGAGCTTACCATGATAAAGGCAGTCCCGCTTTCTGAGTGAGGCCTTTTTGTCCCTTGCTGGCAGTCGTCTTCGGTATTCTGATTGTGACTAACCAACACTCAATTTGTTTGCAGATTATTTGGATCTCTTAGTGTTTTTATAAATTATATTTCCTTCAGAAATCTCCAAAAGAAACATGAAACTTGTTGCTGTAAACTTTCCAGTAGCTTCTTCAACAGGAAAATATTCTCATTTTTCTAGTCCCGAGAAAATCCATGAATCTGGGGCTTATTTGAGGGAAAGTTCAGTCGTGAAGCCAACCCATAGGATCGCAATTGTAAAGAAAAGCTGTGTCTTTAGATAGGAACACAGTCATTTGTCTTGTAAACTTGTTTTTCTGTAGTTAAGATGAATATTCCAAAATGAAAGTTTCTTCAGGCTCCAGAAAGTTTAAGTTCCAGTTGTCAATCTCACTTTGATTTTCAGTGCAGGGTTTCAGAAACTGAAACATTCCTAATTTGTCCTTAGACTTCTTTTAAGCGAGCTTTTCCTTTTTGGTTTTCCTGCAGTGGATCTCAAATGGTGGTAAGTAGAAGAGACTTTTTTTTTTAAGGTTCCAAAATAAACTTCGAAGCTTGTTAGTTCTTGCCGAATTGAGGCTTTTTCCACAGTTGCTGGCTGTGTTGTGAGGCGGGCTTTCTCTGAAGTAGAAAGAAAAGGCTTGCTAGATTTGTAGTATGACATCACAGGAAGAAGAGGCTGGGTTTGGACAAAGAAAGGTTTCAGCCCAGTTTGTTTGCAGTTCCTTTCATCTGATAATGTGTCTGCTGGGACTGTACCTAGCAGGCTTGCAAATGGTCACTGGTGAATTAACTCTTTTTATGCGGAAATGCTTTGTGGGGTTTTGGCAAGCTCTCTCAGTTGGTTTTGTGTTGTTTTGTTTTAGTGGTAATAATTGAACTAGAATTAAATCAATTTAAGTCTATTTGTCTTTTATTTAGTGCTTTCTATTTGGAATATGGCTTTTTTAAAAAAGGTAAAGTGTGTATGGGTACATATTTACAAACTGAAATTGTTAGCAATACTAGCATTTTAAGGAACTATTTAGTAATTGAAAGAGACCTTTAACCTTTACGTATGAAAAGGACTTGACTTAGAGACCAGTAGTTCTTCCACCCTTCTTTTTTTCCCCCTTCTAATTACTCCTCCAGATTTAACTTAATTGGTATGATTGTGAGTAGCTTTAATCCTGGGTCTCTTTTGTTTTTGTTTTTGTTTTTGACAAACAATCTTCTAAACATTCTTCATTCCTTTGAAACAATATTTTAGAGCTATTTTACTTTGTAATTAGCCCTTTCACCAAAGAATGTATTTTAAAATGTTGGTTTTTGCTGCATATGTAGCTCAGTGTAAGAATACAATGTACTTAGCATGGGAAACCCTAGGTTTCAGTCCCTAACACCAAACAAAACAAAGCAAAACAAAAAACAGTTTTTTGATGTGTTCTTTTTATTTTGCCCATCAGGTTTTTAAGTTTCCCCCCCTAAATTTAATGAAATAATTTTTGGAGACTATGGCTAATTCTAGGTTCATAATTTTATTTTCATTCATTCCATCTTTTCCTTTAACTTCCTTTATATTACATTAACTATATAATGGCATGATATTTCAGACCTTATCTTCATTTAAACATTTCTATAAATGATTTCTCTAGATTTATGGGTAAAGTATATTCATACTTGACCTCCCTCATATCAGAAGAACATATGAGTGGGGAAGGATAGCTGAATGTAAATGTTATTTTCTCAGAGCCTCAGAGACACATGTTTTTCATATTTTAAGCTGCTCCCCTCCCCCATTTTTTGGTTCTGGGGACTGAGCCCAGGGACTGGTGCATGCTAAGCACATGTTACCTCCCTGAGCTAGGTCCTCAGCTCCTAAATTTCCATTTTTATGAAAAGTCTAGATTCCTTTTTGTTTTACTGTTAGAACCAAAACACTTCCTTTTGAGTCAAGACATTTAAGAGTAAGTTATTTTTTCTTCATAAAATATTAAGCTAATTTAAAAATATTAAAGAATATTGCATAACATGTTTTATACTGTTTTGCAACTTTTTTGTTGGGACTACTCTCATGCTAAGCAACTTTTGTTGGTGAATTAAAGCTATTGGTGTTTTGACTAAGAAATTTTATCTATAATTAAATAATACACAAATAATACAATTATTACTTATAATCCAAAAACTTGAAACATTGAAGGTTTGAATTTCTTTGTATTACTTTTGGCATAGGGAAAAATACATATATGTACTCATATTAGAATGTTGGGCAGAAATGAAAAGTGAACAGTTAATAAAATTATTCTTTTTGCAGAAAAATATAAAATCTTAGTTATTACCTCTTTCAAATTTATAGTCTTTTTAATCACCTTTCAAAATGAAATATATACGGCTATATGCCCTGACCTACTTTTACTTTCATTTTGAATATGGTGTCTCATCAAAGAAGGAAAATATATTCAGTCTGCGCTAGAGTATTCTTCTATACATTGCCGCCTCTCACTTGACTTGTTAATCATTTCATTGTTCATTTGTAGTTTTTGCATGTTTGAGTTATTGTTGCTTAACAATGGAAAGATCATTATTTGCTAAGACTTTCCTTATTAGTAGTATGTTAGTGTATGTATTGCTAATTTTCAGCATAATTCTTGACCCTTAGTAGACACAGATATGTTTGGTGATGAATAAATCATATCAATAGACATGGATTTTGTTGAAGCTTGTTCAGTTGAGGAAGAACAGTAGCAGAGGGATTGTCTCAACAGGAAGAAGATGATTGAAGTTGGATTTTTAAAATATATTTTTTAAATTTGGATTCTAAGAAACCAAAATGAAATTCATTACCTTGATTTTTAAAATGCAAAATGGCAACTTACAAAAAGAGTTAAATCTAGTTAAATGTTAAACATTTAATAGGTGTTTTATATTTGATAGATTAGACAAACTTATTTTGATGAGAAATGTATATACTCTTCCAAGTTAGGCCAGGGAGACAGTTTTTCTTAAGTGAATTTTGGGGTTCTGTAATGAAATTGGGGGGGGAAACACTAAAGTCAGAAGTTGATATGAAAGCTAGACAAAAATGCTTTATACCTTTAACACTAGCTATTTTAGAGGCTTAGATCTGACGATTATGGTTAGAAGCCAGCCCAAGCAGACAAATTTAGGAGCCTCTTATCCGTTAACCAGCAAGAAGAGAGAATTTAAGTGTGACTCAAGTGGTAGAGCACCAGTCTGGAGTAGACAAAGCCAAATAAGACACTCTGGATTCAAGCCCCTGTCACCAGAAAGAAAGAGAGGAAGAGAGAGAGAAAGAAAGAGAATTTAAGACATTCAGGAGTGTTAGAAGATATTTTATGTCTGGGAATGTGGCTTAGTGGTAAAGTGCTTGCCTAGCATGCATGAAGCCCTGGGTTCAATTTCTTAGTACCACATAAATAGAAAAAGCTGTAAGTGGTGCTTTGGCTCAAGTCGTAAAGTGTTAGCCTTGAACAAAAGAAGCTCAGGGAGAGTGCCATGGCCATGAGGAGGAAGACGAGGAGGAGGAAGACGAGGAGGAGATATTTTATATTGGTTTGGCATTTTTCTAAAGTGTACAACAATCCATTGAAATAGTGACTCACAACTAATCACTTTTCAAAATATAATTATATCAAGAAGCTAGGTAAATAACCAACTGGCCTCTAAAGTAGATGTTTTATTTATCAGTAATGGTCTTACTCTTTTAGTTATAAAACTTTTATCAGATTGAGAGTTAATTATCAGAAGTTAGCTGTTAATTATTAGAAGTTGAAGGATTTGGATGATTTTTTTTTGGTAGTTTTGGGGATTGAACTAAGAGCTTCCTGCTTTGCTAGGCTGGTGAGGTAGTATTTGAGCCATGCTTCTAGCCCTTATTGGCTTTTATAGTTTTTTCAGATAAGGTCTCCCAAACCTTATCTGGGCTGGCTTCAGATTGCCATCCTTCTATATCAGCTTTGTGTGGGATTACAAGAGTGTGTTACTGTGGCAGATATCACTTCTCAGTAGACTAAAATTCTTCTGTGACTGTGCTTAGAAGAGACAGGAAATCTTACTTCAAAATAGGCTCAACACATTTGTTAATTAACTCTTTATTGAACACTAGTATAAATAGAGTATGAAGAGGGTTCCTCAACCATTCTTCTCTTCTTTTTCATGCTAATATTTTCTGACCAGTTTTGTCTTACCTGTTTTTCACTCTCACTGCCATCTTTTTGGATAAACCCAGTCATTCTTATCTATGTGATTATTGTAATGTTCAATCGATTTTTTTTTCTTTTTGTCAGTCTTGGGGCTTGATCTCAGGACCTGGGCTCTGTCTCTGACCTCTTTTGCTCAAGGCTAGGGCTTTATATCTTTAAGCCATGGCTCCACTTCCCATTTTCTGGTGGTTAAGTAGAGTATCTAGTAGCTAGGATTACAGGTGTGAGCCACCAATGCCTGGTCCTATTCTTTTCATGCTGCTATGCTAGTCCATCACTGATCAGCTCATTTATTCTCAGTTATTGATGTATTCTCTTCTTGGTTCCAGAAGTGACCTAGAGCAAATTATGGTTTTTAAAATGAATATATTTTCAAAATTAAGATTTTCAGATATGTAGATTATAACTTAGTGGATAAGTGTGTAAAAACAAAGAGGAGTTAACATTGGGAAGAGTTAATTTAAAATATGGAAGGCTAGAAGTATAACTTAATGTAGAGTATCTAGCTTAGCATTTAGGAGGCCCTGGATTCAATTGCTAGTGCTGAAAAAAATAAAATACAGTTAAAGAAAAAGAAAAGAAATATGATAAGTATTCTTCTCCACGTCATGTTCCTTTTCTAAAATTACTCATTTGAATGCAATAAATGTTTACAAGATGCGAAAAAATTCTTAGACGGGAAATCCATTTATATATTAGTAAAAGAATTAGTCATAAACTATAGGGGAGATATATAATGGGAAGGTGTGTGATGTATTAGAAAGATCTAGACTAAAGGACAGGGCTACATTTGACACAAGAAGAAAAAAAAAGGTTAAGCCTGTGTATTTTGTGTATCTTTACACATACACCACTGAAGAATATTTTCTAATGGCAGAAATATTTACTTATGAAATGCCATGTCATTTTGGCCCTCATTTTAGGAAATTCACCAAATGTAAGATCGAGTTAGGGGAAAACATTTGTTGGTGGATCAGTTATATGTGATAATTAAGTTTAATTCAGAAGTAAGTTTAGGGCAAAGAATTTGCTCTTTGGAATCTTAACATTTTGAGACCCTTTTCATATGTGTTCCCAACTTAGGGTCTAGTGTCACAATCTTTGGGGTTCTCAAACATGACTAAAATCATGAGAAACAAACATCTGAAGAAATCAAGGATCAACAAGTCTCGCAGTTTATTCTTCTGAAATATCTGGGAATATCTGAAATATTTTGAATGTTTGTCTGAGAACAAACTAAAAAGAATCTAGACTGTTGCTAGTGCAGACTCTTTTATGTATAAAATATAGAATTGTATATGTGGCCCATAAAATGTGAATCTACATATTATTCTTTAATAGGAAAACATTGTTCAAAGTACACCATCCAGATAATCAGAGAAGTTTCATCGTCTTGTCATCTGGCTCTTGGAGGAGTCTGATTATTTGACTG